TAGATTCATACCTTCCTCAAAATTGTCCTCGCTCGCTTTCTACTTTGTATGTACAATTTTCACACTGCTGTACTATAACGGAGCTATCAACTCTTTAATTTAATCTCCTCATCTATCGTATAAAATCTGCACTTTAAGTCTGAAATTTGACGTTAAGCATCTCCGACTATGTAAACCGTTAAATTCACGCATCAAGTAATAACACATGATTAGTTAAAGTGGATTATTTTCGATGTTTTACTGATTCTTCTAGGAACTCCCTGAAGGCTCCTTCCATAAATCAAATTTAAATTTATTTAAATTCTTCTTCCATGCAATTAACCTCAGCAATTTCATAAATTTCTGCTTAGAACAATTGGAAATTAAATACGTATTCTCCTTGGAATTCCCATAGTATTTCCTCGGAATTCTCAAAACAAAAATCCATCACAGAATAACTTTGAAACTGTTCCCAGAATTCCTTTGAGATTGAATCCTCAAAATTCGATTCCATTGCAATTCTTCTCGGAATTTATTTTGAACTCTTTAGAATTATCTGAAAAATATCTTCAGAAATCACCCAGAATTCTTTTAGAGCTATCCGCAGAGAGCATCTTTGGAGCTCACGAGATTTTCATGGAATTTTCATCAAGCTCCCTTAAGCAACATTTCAGAACTAATTTTGAACTCTTATTAGAATTGGACCTAGAAGCCTTATCCAATCATCATAGAATTCTTCTCAGAACTCTCGTTAAAATGCACTCTCAATTATAATGGAATTATTACCAAACTATAAAAGGAAACCTGGCTTAAGATTTAAGTGGAGATGAAGAAATCGGTCTTAACACTTAATTTTACATGAGACTTTCGTAGTCTGTACTTAGGTATTCTCTTCTCTGATATATCTTGGTGTAATCCCTGGAATCCTTTAAATTCTCTCAAAATTTACTTTGGATTTTTAAAGTTCTTAATAATCCTTGAAAGGCTTTTGAAAATCTACCACAAACAAATACCTTTGAAAAATTTCCAAGTTTTACAATTTATTTTCTGGGAAAAGAGGTATATTTCCCCGATTTTTAATTGGAATTAAAGGCATTTCCCAATAGTTTTCCTGGTCTTCTAAAGTTTTGCGGTTCACTGGTCACCCTGGTTAAAAAAAATCAATTTTTTAACAGATAGGTATATTTTGTTAAAACTACTGTAGACTTTCTTAGTGCAAAGTACTCAATTTAAACATCTTGTTAATATTTTTAAATTTCATTCTATTTTAGTAGTGAAAAAGTGACTTTAGTGACTATTTTTAGGGAAAGAGTGACTTTAGTGACTTTTTGGTGTAAAAAGTGTCTTTTTAGTGACTGGCTTCAAAATAGTGACCAAGTCACTAAAAAGTGACCTGCTACCAGCCTTGCATAGCGGTCGTATGAGAAAACGGGATAACCCAACAAACAATTCAAAGTCATAAATAAGCTCTTATAAATAAATTTTCTAACTCCTTTATTAGATGTCACTGCATTGATTTACAATATTGCTGTATAAATGTGAATCAGTCAGCAAAATAGCTCTTATATCACTATGCGTCCATGTTTAATTGGATGCGTTGTAAATGCTTTATAAACGACGTATTAGATTCATTATTCCACAACACTGGTTCAGTCTGGTCTGGTCAACAAAACGAAATCAGTAGAGTAGTGGTTACCATTTCCACTTAGAATACCGTTTCCAAGTAGAAGCTCGTGAGTTCAATCCGAACCTTAACCCTTTTTTTAAATTTGTGTTCTAAATCGTAATCATCGATCACATCACTCACAACAACAAATTCATTGATTTAGTTTGATAAATAACCCAGCATCCATTTATATGAAATTCGAGAAGTGAAGCGGTAGAACTTGTAAAACAACGATGAATGAATTAATCATTCCCACTTGGGACGATCGGGAGTGCTGATAGGTATTCAGTTTCAAGCAAGCTTTTATTGAATAGGTATTGAGCAGCCCATATGATGTATTCTAGGATAGCTCAGATGGCAAGGCAAAAGCATTTGGTGATCGGAAGGTACATGGTTCGGAACCCATGTAATGGACATGTAAATGTATGTAGTTCATTTCCTAATATCTGTGTGGTGCGTGCTTCGTCAGAATAATGAAAACAATCACTAAAGAAAAGACAACTCAGTCTGTATCTACCGTTCTTAATTTTCGGGTTAATTTTCCTGCAGTTTGAACACTCGTTTAATAAATGTAGTGTAATGTAAGTAAAAGTGTCTAATTTAAACGTTAAACGGGGGTTTGTTAAAATGATACGATAAAAAAACGTTTTTTTTTATTGAAATACCATTTCACCTAGAATTACATTTCTCCGTACTAGCACAGAGAACAGACGTTGAGGTTCGAACAATATTTCTGTAAAAACTAGTGTAAGGATTCCTATTCGACTTAAGCGCCACTAACGGCGACTTCCCCACTTAAAACCCTCTTTGACAACATGATGGCGCCGCCGTTGCACAACTTACACTAGACACTAAGTGCCGGTAGCGCCGAGTGGCAATTTACAACAGAAAATTAATCGACAATAGCGCGAAATTGGTCGAAAGTAGAACAATTATAGAGGGAATCAGGAGATGCGAGCGTAACGTAACGGCGATGTTCCCACTTATCTTTACACAAGTTTCTGACCGAAGTTGGACGTCTGTTCTCTGTGGTGCTAGGGCGGCTAGTTCGATTTCCTGGGAAACTAACGAGATATAAACATCCAGGAAAAGTTAGTGTGTAAACTTCTTCAGTGTCTAGTTATAGACTTGACTAGACACTGAAGAAGTTTGCAATTAGTAAACGATTAATACCTCGTTACTAAAATACATATGGCTTTTTAGAAAAAAAAAGTTTGATCTATTAAAAGTGGTCAGTTCATCAAACTAAGTTCTGCCCAGTGGTGGCACGAGTCCTGGAGTTTAACATTTTTTCCTTAACATTTGATACTTTTTGCGATAACCATTTTGACGACACACAAAAACAAACTGGCAAGCGGCAAAAATGTCATGACATTTCTAAACTGTTTTCTGCCAGCGACAGAACATTTTCGCACAAAGAAGCAGACAAGACCGGCGGCGCGCGCGACATAAATTTATGTCGTGTAGAATTTTGCTGATTTCTGGCTAACTACTGCATTTATTTGATGTTTATTGCATGGAATTAAAAGATAAGAATGAAGACTGACCACTCATGAGCATTGATGTTAAAATTATGCGTAAATAAGGGAGTTGGTAATTTACTGTCACACGCAAGCCTGCAGCTAAAATTTCATTACAATAAACTGTTTGGAAAAATCAGGCTGCGAGATTTTATTTATTCTCTATCTCCGCTGTTCGCTTGGAATGTAGTTATAAACGGCCGCCCGTGTGCTGGCTGTTTTGTTTCGCTCTGGACGATGGTTTTTCAAAAAATGTACTGTTGCCACCTCTGGTTCTGCCTTTCTACAAAGTTTCTGTTTCCGGCAATGTTGGTAAGATGAGTAAAGCAATCCAAATGGTGATGGTGAACATGTAAATTTGTAATTCTCTCACTACGCAGTGCTAATGTACCCGTGAACTTCCTTTACCTATAAGCTATGTTCAGGACAACAACGTGAAGTCCACATGTACAGTGAGAGAAATCTAGACAATTTAGAAGCTTGTGGTCAGCTGAACAACTATCCCAAATATAGAAATTTCCTATATAGGCAAGATTTCAAGATATGTATATTTTATACAGGAAATTGTCTTGCACATTAGTACCGCATAGTGAAAAATTCTGAATTACTGTTCTGAAAATGAATGTTATTAGGGAAACTACTCTAAAGATCAATACTCACTTAATTTATCGTGGAATTTTTTTATAGTTTTGTTTAAATTTTACTTTAAGCTAAGCGTGGCCGTCTGTTATTCTGTATAGTATTTCCACTTTAATTCCGATGGATGTTTGATCGAAATTGAGCTATTTTAAAATATGAATTGTTTCGTTCCGTTGCCCCGTTTGATTATCTAATTCGTTCAAATTTGGCATAGTTGTTCAGCACCTCAATGCATATTGAAAGAGCAGTAGGGAGCAGGGGGTTTTATAGTTGACCCAGCCTAATGTATACAGAAAACCGGAGATGTCCAGCTTACCTCAAAGTCCACATTGGTAGGTATTTATGCGAACCGTCTGTACGGGCACTGGGACCAAGTGCTGTTTTGCTTTCGTTGCGAATATACTGCTTGCTTATAATTTCATCCAATATCCTATTATCACGATATCAGCGTGCGAGCAAGTAAGCAAGCAAGCCAGCAAGCAAAGTGAAAAGGAAAAGTACCAACAACAGCAAATGGTAAGAAAAGAGATTTTCCCAAAAGAAGGATGGAAGAACGTGTCGCATAGAGTGATATCACGATGATACACAAAGCCAGCCGCGTATGATTTGAACTAAGTCGTACCACCTATGTATGTCATGAAAAAAAAATAGTTTTATGTGTTGACAATATTGGGGTGGCTCTTGCGTTAAAAAATACGTGATACACATTTTTATTAAATTTAGCTAATAAATTTTAACTGATTAAAGATTCGTGATGAATAAATGCAAGTGAAGTTCGTTAGCTAAACTTTCAAATAAGCTAAGCAGCGTTATGAACTATTATTGAATCATTATTGACTTATACTGAGGTACTTGGCAATGTTTGAAATAAATAGACACTTAGCTACAGAAATATATTAAGAACAACTAGCGCATAATTTAAGCAAATCAAACGGTAATTTACTAAATAAATTAAAAAAACATCTAGAAGGCATATATTTTTTATACCAAGAAATAAATCATTAAAATCAATAGATAAGCTTCAACTAAGAAGTTTGCCTTTTGACATGTCTACAGGTTAAAGTAAGATGACAATAAATGCTGGTAATTCGGTTAAAAGAAGAGATTTGGCTAATTACCTTATTAAACAATAAAAACGAGCAAATGTTTTCATCATATTTAGTGTTTTAAATACCTTATAACCAAGTTGTACATACCAGAGTACATACCTGTGGAAGAAAGAGAAAAATGACACACGATTAGTTTCTAAATTTTAAATTTTAAATCAGCAAATAATTTCTGAAATAAGCCCATATCTGTGATAGATAAGTATTAAACTTGTCAGTCGTCAATATAACTACAATTTACGTAGATTGTACGAATATTTGAATTATTTGTGTATGATAGATAAAGTGAAGTGAACCTGACACTAATATATTATATTTAGTTGAAACGTCAGTCAGTATGAGTCAGTATCTTTTGGAAAATGTAGCTATAAATTTTCAATCCAAACTCATCGATTAAACAGTCCAACAGTCGGATGACGAAAAGTTCGCTAGGTTTCCCTTGGTACCTTAATATTATTTATGCAATACTGTACAAGTTTGATGAAACGCGCTACAAAGTAGCTGTTCTGAGTAAAACATGTTCAATAACTTCACATCAGCAACTGTTTGTGATACTCATCACCCACCCTAATCATTTACCTCCCCTGCTGTGCATATTTCAGCACGAAACGAACCCATGCACACACAGTCACCCACCACATTCGTGTCCCCTCCCGGGTTTTTCTGTTCCTAAGCACAAACCTGGCTGCTGTCAAACGACGGAGGGTGGACAGTGAAGCGGAGGTGGTGGAGGGCTTTCGCCGGCCGGATATGTGTTTTGCCCGGCACTGTTCTCATTTTGCCCAAACCAAGCAGAAGCAGAATAACATGCTCGCTCGCAGCTCTCTGTTTGCAGTGGGGGTATTTGTGTGCGGAAAATGGAACCGAATTCAACGCCGATAACGCTACCGTGCCTTCCTTGGTTCGTACCAGACAAGGGAGCGGTGGCGGGGAATAGAGCGGGGAAAACTTATTATGGTACGAGAAATAATGTTTATTTTCTTTTGTTTTTCCTAGCTCTCACTTTCTTCCCACACTCCACGGTCCATCCAATATTCCTTACACAGTCGACCGATCGGAGCAAGTGGCATTCTTGTGGGGAGACGGAGCCAAAATCAGATATGGGTGTCCTTTTCTGCTGGCGTAAGATCTAAGCGCACACTTTTCTTCACTGTGGAGGACAGTGGGACATTTTTGGTTATAGATTCAGGGTTGATTAAATGTTTTCGTTTGTTTTTACCCTTCTTACAAACAGCTTGCAAAACCGACTTTGGATCCCATAAATATACCAATCGAATCAGCTGGAGAAGCGGACAGATTCTGAATTGAACTAAACCCATCATCCGATACTTCAAATAACATGTGAATTCAAAAAGTCATTTTGAGTGTCCACGATCACATTGGCCACATGTTCCGATTTTCCGCGGGGAAGTAGCCAGAGTCTGACTTGAACTAAAACACATCATGCGACACCTCAAATTACACGAGAATTCAAATATATGATCATTGGCAGTCATATTGGATGTCTAGGACCAGGTTCCTCCGGGGAAGTGGCCTTAATTTGAGTTGAATCCCAGGTGTCGCATCTCAAAGCACATTAGACTTAGAAAATAAGATCATTGGTGGGTATATTGAGTGTAAGAAGAGTTCGATCTCACAATAGGTGGATAAAAGGAGCATTTTTAAGGTGGTTCGTTGTGAGATCCTTGTTCTCGCTACCACTTCAAAACTATAAGTGCACTAATATCTGCGTCCACGACACGTACTACAATTTCAAGTGAAATGGAACTCTAATTTTCGAAATTTGTGTAATTGCAAATTCGAGGTGGAAGTGCATTTATAGCGTACGTGGCGACCATTTGTGTCTAACGCTTTAAGGGTGGGGGTGGTTACAAATATGTGACAATCAATGCATTAGATATAGAAAAAAAAAAACGTGACGAAAGGGGAGAGGGGTTGAATTTTTCGAAATAAATACTCCCCTTAATCAGCGGTGCAGCCAGGATTTCCGTCTGGGGTTGCGGGTGTTTGTAAAAATGACGTAATTAAAGATACATCCTGGGGTTCAATTTCCACTAATTTCACCAAATTCTATGGAAGCTATTTAGATTTAGAGAGGAAACAGTTTAAAAAAGCATGCTAAATATTAATTATTTTCGGAAAAAATAACCCTGTGAAGAACTAGCAATAACTTAAAAGAAATTTCGAATGGATGCTGATGGAAACTTTTTCGAAAGGTTGGAAAAAGCTTCCACAGCAGTAAGAAAAAACTTCCGGAAAAAGTTAGAAGAAACTTCCACAGTAAGCTGACAGACACCCGACATCAAAGACGGAAGAAATTTCCATGGCAGTCGAAAGAAACTTCCCGATGAAGTGGGCAGAGTTGCATGTCACCAGGTGCTCTGGGGGAACTCGGAAGGAGCTTTCAAGATAAATCGTCAGAAGAAACTTCCAGATCAATCCTAGAAAAACCGCAATTAACTTCCAGGAGAATCCAGTGCAGAGATGCCAGATTTACAGAGATGTCTGTGAATTTACAGACTTTTATTTTTTCATAGACACTTTTTTCGTCAGGGTGCCTTCCATTCATTTTGGCTAAGAAAATGTTTTATGAAATTATGGAATAATAAGATTATATGATAATATTTTGTTTGTGTAAGCAACAAGAAAATATTGTGAAGTTTGTGTCTGACGCATAATACCTGCCAATTTTGCTACATTAGCGTCGCAATAAGCGATTTTGTCATTTATCTCACCCACTCTTCGCTCTTCACTCTTCGCGAAGAGACGATCAGAAAATCGCTCGTTGCGACTCTGTTGAAGCTAAATTTGCATGTTTTGTGTGTCAAACATAAACTTTACAATCTTTTCTTGTTACTTACACATACAAAATAATATCATAATATCTTATTATTCCGTAATTTCAAAATGAATGGAAGGCACCCTGTTTTTCGTTACAGACATTTACAGACTTTTTAGTTTTCTCACAGATATTTACAGACTTTTGTAATCAAATGATAATTTTAAAATTTGGTTAAATTGTTTTACATCTTTACACGTGTGTTATATTAAGCCAAGTTTTTCTCCCCCAGGTGTGTTATTATTTTGAAAAATGTAATGAATATGTTGTTTGATATATCTTATTTTAAAACTGTATTTATAAAATCGTTACAACAGTGTTAGTGATTAGCGCCAATTCATCATACTTGGCTTCGTTGTACAGTACTCTCCATTTCTCGATGATCTTTATTTCGATATTCCTTCCTATCTGAATCGTTTCAGCAACCCTGATCAGTGCTCGACAAAACTCGACAAAACACGGTGATATTGACAATTTTGCTTTGGTCACTCATTTGAGCTGGCAAACCATGTCAATTTTCAATGACAATGCTGTCAGTAACGAACATGTGTAGATTTTTTTATTATCTTAATTTGTAACGAAATAAGATGACTTGAGCAACACAATTACATGGAGCCGTTAAAGTAAACAGGTAAAGGGTGTCCACGATGAAATTGCCACACACAAAATTGATTCGCAAAATTCGAGTTTTCATCCGATTGCCATCAAATTTTCAGGGATTGAGAAATAACTATTAAACTTCATTTTACCATTTTACTCGTATTTTATTTACAGTCCATACGCAAATGCCCGCACCTTGGCCTTAACCCCGGCCATAAGATTCTGCACAACCTGTGAATCAACCGTTTTTTGCATGTAAACCCATACTTTCTTCAGTTCCTCGACTGTCTTCACTACCTTAGGTCGTTTAAGAAGGTGCTGCTTCATAATCGCCCAGTACTTCTCGATGGGGCGGAGCTCCGGAGTGTTGGGAGGGTTGAACATTTTCGGCACGAAATTGACCTTATTGTCCGCATACCACTTCAGCACGTCCTTGGAGTAGTGGCATGAGGCCAAATCCGGCCAGAAGATTGTTGGGACGTTGTGGGCCTTCAGGAGAGGAAGCAGCCGCTTCTGGAGGCACTCTTTTATGTACACCTGTCCGTTCATCGTGTCCTGGGTCACGAAAGGTGCACTCCGCTTCCCGCACGTGCAGATGGCTTGCCAAACCAGGAATTTCTTCGCAAATTTGGACATCTTCTGAGTGCGGACATGCTCCGGAACGCTGAACTTATCCTTGGCCGTGAAAAACAGGTTGCCGGGGATCTGTTTGAAGTCGGCCTTCACATATGTTTCGTCGTCCATGATGCAGCATTCAACTTTCGTCAGCATGTTGAGGTACAACTTCCTAGCACGGGTTTTGGCGGACTTGTTCTGCTTCTCGTCGCGATTAGGGGCCTTATGTACCTTGAACGTTCGAAGCCCAGCCTTAGTTTTGGCCTTCTGGACAAAACTTCGGCTTAGGTGCAGCTTCTTAGCCACATCCCTAACGGAGGCGTTCGGATTTCGGTTGAAGGCCCCAACTACGCGGTTGTGATTTTTGGTGTTGTACGGAATACTTTTTCCTTCACTTCTGGGCTTCCGATTGGTGGTCAGCCGTTCCTCGAACCGCTTAATCACTCGCGACACCGTGGAATTCGCGATTCCCAACGTTTTAGCGATGGAACGATGCGAGAGATCCTTGTTCTCGTGATGAATGCGCAAGATTTTATCACGCACGAGCTGTTCTTTCGACTCCATTTCCGCGAGTTTTGATCACAGGACTTTAAAACTTGCAGGATGTAAATAATGCACTATGAACTAAATCCACCCAAATTTTCATTAAATTCTACCCAACGGTTAAAAAGTTAGAGCAATTTCATCGTGGACACCCTTTATCTACGTCCTGAACTACTTTGATAACAATAATGGCACTCAGAATGCACGAAATTAAACTTTTTGTTAGTATATGAATCTTTGTCATTGACAAATAAATAAATGATATTTTGCCGAAGGTTTTTTTTGAGGATCAAGTCTGTCTGTCACTATGTGATGAATAATTTTGTTAATATCGCGCGACAGTCTGTCAATGACAATGTCAAATCTCAGCACTGACCCTGATCCTGACTCATCAACAGCATGAAGTGTTTAGAATCGTATTAATAAGTTTATAAATTGTTCTTTGGATTGTCGAGTTCTCCATATTTAGGTGGTGGAAAGTTGAATCTCTCACTAAGATGTGCTC